TAGCAGCTTTTGCCAGTCCTTATACCAGGGCATATGTTACATTCAGTGATTAGGAAAGGCAAAGGGAGCAGCACTGCAGATTTTAACTGCGCAGGATCTGAGTTTGGAGCTCCTGGTCCCGCTCTTAAGTCGTGCCTCTGGTTTTGGGGCTGCAGCTGTTTGAGTCTCGTTTCAAAGCAAGGACTTTTGCAGGTGGTGCAAAGCGCTTTGATCATTTGTGGTTTGGGGTTTTTTGCCTGGCTGGTGTGTGTGACCTCGGTGCAAAACACCAGCAGCCACCCGCTGAACCCGACTGCAGCTTTGCCCCAGAAAAGGTAAGAAAAGTTTCTTTTTAAAATTGATGTTTCCATCCTGCTCCTCAGGGGGACTCCAGACCTACTTCCCTGCCTCTGCCTGAGGCCAGGCTGCTTTCCCTGAGCTGTCTGGCACACAGCCCTCACCTCCTGGCGCTGTGCAGACAATTACACTCATTAAAGGAGATGTCAGGTTAATTCTGATGCGGTAATTAGGTTTTGGCACAGGAGCTACCACGGCTTGATCTCTGGGAAGCAGAAAGGAGCTCCAGCAGGGTCAGAGGTGTGGACAGAGGGACCCTAAAGCCAACCCATGGCAGGGTGGAGGAGGGAGTTTGTGGAAATAGGAACTTGAGAAATGGGGAGTGCTGCTTGGGATGGGGATCCCAGACCTTGGCCACCTTCTTCATAGGATCCCAGTGATAAATGACATAGAGAACAAACATTTCCACCTCCCCTGAAGTTGCTGAGTAGAGCCTGAAGGCTAACTGGCAAACAAAAAGCTAAGATGATGTCGAGGCGTGCCCGGGGTGATAAACCTGTCTGGGACCCGTGCAGGAGCAGATAAAGGAGCCTCCAGTGGGTTTTTGGCAAATTGTGCCAAAAGGAGCAACAGAAAGAAAGTCAGAAAAGTTTATTCCTGCCAATTTTGGTGCCATTTCTGGTGAACCCACACGGGACAAGTGCCTGGTGTCCCCTGAGGCTCCGGGATTTTCCATGCTGGCACTTTCCTGGAGAAAACCACAGATTCCCCCAGACTGATCTGGGACACAGGTAGGGTCCCACTGTGACATTGAGGCATCCTCTTGAGTCTGGGGGTCCTGCCCACATAAGACACCTGAAAATTGGTATTTTGGAATTGGGTGGTTTAGAATTTAATGTCTTGAAGATCTTGGGTTACTTTGATGTTTTGAAGCTTGATGTTCTGGTTCTGTTCTTGATGTTTTGAGGCAGAATTGTTTTAGTATTTTGGAACTTGGTATTCTAATATTTTGAAACTGGGTTGCTTTGGTGTTGTGGAACTTAGTATTTGAATATTTTAAATATGTGTTACTTTGGTGTTTGAAAACTTGGCATTGTGGTACTTTAAAACAGAGATTTTGAAAGCTGGTTTTCTGATATTTTGGTGGAAGAGCTACCAGCATTTAGATTGTCAATGAAAAAAGGAAGTTTAAGACTTAGCTGCAAAGTCCTGTGCATAGAGAACTGAAAAGGCCAGCTGCAGGCATAGATAAGAGAGAAATAAAGATAAGAAAACATTTGGGAGGAAGGCAAAAGTTGCCTGGCTCCTATTTTCATAGGACAATCGTCAGATGATATTATAATAAAACTACCAAAAATCCGAGAAATGGATGGTTTTAATACAGGTAAACTACTTGATGTTGCATGGGCAGTGTATCAAAATGTGCAAATCCAAAAAAAAAAAAAAAAAAAAAAAAAGAAAATAAAACCAGGAAAAAACTAAACAGAAAATGATAGCAATTATAAAAGAAAACAGCAAAAATTTCTTACCCCCAGGGAGGAGTCTTGTAACAAGGGAAGGGCTTCAGATCCTCCATCTTCACTAGGAAGATTGGGAATTAATCAATACACAAATTACAAAATAAATATAAATACTGGAAGCAGGAGTATCCTCAGGTAAAACCCAGGATTCCTCCAAAGGCTCTCATGGCAACAGCCACACCAAGAAATAAAAACCTGCAATTTTTAGTAGGCACAGGAACCAATTATTCAGTATTAAATACCAATTATTCAGTATTAAATACCAATTATTCAGTATTAAATGCAAGGGAAGTTTAGGGATGCCTCCCTCACAATTGCTGGTGCCACTGGAAGTCGTGAACTGTGCTCTTTTTTCAAACCACTGAAGTTCAAACTAGAAAAATTATAAATAACCTATCAATTTTTGTACCTGTCTAACTCTCCAAAACTGTTATTAAGGAAAAAAAAAATCTTATTGGGAAAATTGAGTGCAAAAATCCAGTTTCAGGAAGGAGACATTCAAATTAAAATCCCTGAGTCTAAATCCATGTAAACTTCAATTTTTGTATTACACTGGCTTCCCAATCTGAACCTATCCCAAAGAGAATTAAGGAAATAATCCCCTTTGTGTGGGCCAGGGAGATTCCTGGAAAATCAAAAAGAGCAGAATCTGTAAGAACCAAATTAAATCAGACACAAGCCTGGTAAGACAAAACCAGTATCCTTTAAAATTAAAACATTGAAAAGGCTCATGACCTAAGATTAAGAAAACTTTAAGGTACAGGTTGTTGGTGAACTCCAATTTTACCAGACAAAAATGTTAAAAGTAAAGATTATCAGCTAGTACGAGACTCAGGAGAAATTAATAAAATTGCTAACTAACCCTAAAATTGCTAAGTTACCCAAAACACTTATAATCACACTTAAAAAAAAGAAAAAAAAAAGTAAACAAATAAATAAATAAATTTGGAATGGCTCACTGTAATAGATTTAAAGGAATTTTGGATTATTGGTCCACCCTTTGTATGGACTCAAAATATTTTATATAGTAACAGCCATCTATAGTTTATAGCCACAAATACTTTTAAATACAAAAATACTTTATTATATGGCCAAATGATACTCAGTTTGCTTTCAAATTACTTATGAGGTCTCCAGCTTTGGGCTTCCTAGATCCTGGGAAATCTTTTGCTGCTTTCAAATTTAAAAACTAGGACTAAAATTAGTCCTAAAAATTAGGACTTAAAAAGCCCTAATGAGGTCTCCAGCTTTGGGCTTCCTAGATCCTGGGAAATCTTTTGAATTATTCCCTCATGCCAAGGCTGGCCCAGCTGTTTTTGAGCAGTCACAGCTACAGAGCTGTAGGGCCAGATATTAAACCAGAATACAGCACAAAAATTCTGTTAATCAGGGCATTATATTCTAAATTTCACCCCGGTGGATGGGTGCTCACCCCTGCTGGACAAGGAATAGTTTCTGAGGGAATAAAGTAGGGATAGAGGCTATCAAATGTAGAAACTCTCTGATTCTCAGAAATTCTCTCAGAAATCTCAGGAGTTTATTGGCAAAATTGACTTTGCAGAACTTCCATGCAAAGAGAGCTGTAAATTTCTTTTAGTGGATCCCTGCTCTGGGTGGCCTGAAGCATTTCCCTGTTGCACCAACGTGGCAAAAGAAGCAGTGGAAATATTTCTAAATCAAATATTTCCATGCTTTGGAGCTCCTCTAGGAATGCCAACAGACAGAGGGTCTCGTTTTACAGCAGGAATTGTGGGACAAGTTAGCAAGGCCTTGGGAATCCAGTGGGATTTACACACCCCATGCTGGTAGCAAGCCATGAAAGAATGAATTACACTATTAAACTTAAATTATTACCCCCAGCCAGAATAAAATAGAGGAAAAAGAACGAAGAGTCTTGCAACTGAAGTGTTGCTCATGTCTGTAAGAGGTATCTCAATAATTCACCAAAATCTTTGTTTGCCAAATACACCTTTGGAGTTTCACAGAGGGATTGGGCAGGAAAATTCCTATGAAAATTTCAAGTAGACAAAATATTAAATGTAACTCATTTCTGGATATGTTCTCAAGGAATGTTGAGGCTCCACAGAACACGTGGCCTTAAGGAAAATTGTGCTATTATAGGACAAGAAGGTTGCACTTCCATCAGGGATGAGCTTGAAGCCCAGCAGACAAAAATGGATAGAAAAAGCAATAGAAGAGTGGCAGAAAGAAGAAAACTCTTTGATGAGGTTGGCTTCACTCACGGCTACCAAGCTGGGGGCTGCTACAGGATGCATTTGTGGCAGTCATTTGTGACCACTGCAGAGTGTTTATTTGCTTGTGTTTGCTTGCTGTAACACTTTTTGCTGAAAAATGAAGTATTGTGACTTGCCTAAAAGAGACAGTCTCAAGAAAAAGGAAGGATTTGATAAATAACAAAGAGAATAAAAAATCTCAGCTCCCCTTAAGCTGCTGGGAGAGAGCAGAGTCTTTTTTTTTTTTTGGTGCTCATTTCAGGTGAGTGTGAGAAGAGGCTGCAGCTCCCACATGGTTTGGTGCCAGGATTCCTTGCAAGCCACAGCTGCAGAGAGCCATGAAGTGCCTGTCAGCTTAAGAAAAGTCTCTAGGATATGAAACAGGCAATTTTTGGCAATGCCCTTCACAAAATATTTTGCAGTTGGAACAACAAGAGATGGGAAATAGCGTTGTGATAATTGAAAACTATGATTTCTGACTGAGAGCACAGAGAAAAATTAAATATTTCATCATGCAAAAGGACTTTCTATAAAACCAGAAATATTTGTTTTGATGCAAAATGGGGATGGGAGGGAGGCTCAGCATCTCAGGGGTGAGGAGACAATACCAGGGTGATTTAATTCCCTGACAGAGAAACTTCAGTGCTCTAAGGAACTTCCCTGACTGCATCAATATGAAATGGTTTTAGTGTTCAGAAACAATTTCAGTGCACAGAAACATCCCTGTTCATCTGGAAACAAGGATTGAATGGATGGTTTTTGAAGAAAAATGGCCTTGGCAAGGGGAAGCAGCTTGTGTTCTCTGTCACCCCTTTCCCTTGGAGTTCTCTCAGTGAATTTTAGGTTGGACACTGGGGCTGGGAGCAGCCTGGCACAGTGGAAGGTGTCCCTGCCATGGCAGGGGTGGCACTGGATGGGCTTTAAGGTCCTTTTCAATCCAAACCATTCCATGGTTCCATGGTTCTTCCTATCAAGGCCACTTCCCACCCCTTGGTCCCTACACAGGGACCTGCTGGGAGAGGCTACACGGGCACGTGTGCCAGCTGCAAAACTTCTAAAATGCAATGTTTGCAATTTGCATGCATTTGCCAGCAGTTGCATTGCCCAGCTGTGTGTTTTTGTGTGTGTTTGCGTGTTTTTGTGTGTGTTTGTGTGTTTTTGTGTGTGTACAAGCTGTGCTCCTTCACACATGGCCTGAAAGGGGAAGGCAGTCTGGTTCTGGAAAGAAAAAATGGTAAAAGGTGGGAGGCTGCTCACCCAGCTGTCCAAAACAAGGAGATTTTAAAAGTTTTTTTAAAGATCTGTTACCAATGCTGGAAACAAAAGTAAGTAATGGTCATGTTACATTGGTCTGATTCTACTGAAATCTTGTAAAATGGTTGTTGTGTATTATGGCACCTTGCACTTGGATATTTGTGGAAAGGTTTTAATGGGTTTTAACAGAATATTGCTCTCCATTGTTTCCTTATTTCAGTGTTTGTTTTGTACATGTTCTGGATTTTCTGTAACAGAGAAATATCAGACTCTCAGACAGTCTTCTGTGAGCAGGTGACAGGAAAAAAACCTCTGTACATCTCCACTGTCAACCTCAGAACAGCTTCCTGTCCTGCAAACACAATTCAGGTCATTCATGTGCTTCCTCCCAGGCCACTGAAGAATGTGAGAACAGATGCAGAGCAGATTTTTGGTTAATCTTTTGTATATACATGTAATATAACTGCATAGGCATAATCTCACACATTTTTACATATGTATTTAGCTAAAGCAGTTGTAAAGTTAATTACAAGATTACTGTAAGATATAAATACAAGAAAAAATCAGATCTGAGGAATACTCAATTTAAGGATAAAGTGAATTAAAATATAAGTGCCAGAAGAAATGTGAACTTGTGAAATATTGTCAAAATTCATTAGTGAATCATTGCAAAAATGCACTTGACTACGGGAGCCATTCCAGTAAACCAAGACTCCAGTTCTCCTTTTTCATGCTTTTGGGAATCCCCACTGAAGTCAATGGGACTATTCCTGGGGGTAAAATGAGCAGGATTTGGTTCCAGGGACACCTGGCTGGACTTTCAAGTGAGCTTCAATCCTGCAGTGCAAAACCTCTGATTGCCTGGAAAGGGGAATTTGAGCAAAAGGAAGGCACTGAGGTGATTTGGGGGAGTCTACACAGAACATTCCTGGTCAGAAGGCAGAGATCTAATTTCCATGAAATCTGCAGCTCTGGGCATGGTTAACTTGGTTTGTATCTGGGGGGCCAGATACAATTCCTGGTGAAGAAGGGGGAAGGTGGAAGGGTTGCCCTTTCCCTGGTAAAAATTGCCCCATGCTTGTGCTCTAAAATAGCAGTAGGAGAGCCTGTGGTTACTGGAATGAGCAACTCAAGCCTTAAACTCCTCTCACCAGGTTAATTTATGGAGATGTGTAATATTTTTGGCACTGTAAAGATTCGGGGTTTGTTTTGATAATTTTTCTCTCACTCAAAATTTCTATTAGATTTATTACCAGATGTCCAGCTCATTAATCTCTTACGAGGTTAAATGAGTGAGCATTGTTGTTGTTTGGATCTTTCTCACTTAAAAAGGGAAGGGGAATGGGAGAAGCCCCTTCTCACCTCAGCACGTCCTTGTGAGTCACTCAAACTCTGCAGAAGCTGAAACATCCAAATAATGTGACCCACTGCTCTTTTGGTTCTTTTCTTTTTTTTCAGAGCAGCTGTCCCAGCTTCAAAAATGTGACTCATGGCCCCTCCAGCAAAAGGATCAGGAGCAGTTTCTGGCTTGGTGCAAGAGCCCCACAGGAGACAAAGGTGATGAAGATGAGAGGAACCTGGCTGAGTGTGCCCCTGGGACACCTGCTGGCTCTGGGACATAGGCACAAATGGAGAAACATGGTATTTAAACAAAAAAACCAAAAAAAACAAAAAAACCAAACAAAAACAAACAAACCAAATGACTATCATTGTTATTCTCTGTCGGCTGAGATGGATACATAAATCTGCTCCTTCTCTGACCCTGGTGGGTCTAAACTTGGTTTGTAGGATGCTGAAAATGGGGAGGGAGCTTGAAGGATCAGCCTGGGTAAGCTGGTGTCAGTGGACATGCTTGTGTGGATTTCTGAGGACACACTGGCCTGGAGGGCAGATTCAAGTTAAGCCCAAGTGTGAATCTGCCAGCAGAACATCTCCTGGGGGTGTCAGGAGGAGAAATGCAGGTGGCTGAGTGCCCTCAAACAGGCACCTTCCTTTTAGAGCAGACCTGGCTTTAAATCCCTGTGCAGGGACTTGGCAGAGGAATGCTGAGAGGAGCCAGAGATTATTTTTATGGATGTGCTGCTCCTTCTTGTTCCTTTCAGATGGATTCCAGAAAGTTCAGGCTGTTTTTCTGCCTGGTGGGGCTCAGCAGTGCCAGCCTCTGGGTTTTCCACACCTGGACCGAATTCTGCGTGCTCTGTGAGAGCAGCCAGGGGTACCTGTTCCCCACGGAGACTTTCAGGAGGATGGAAGGGAACTTCTCCCAGCTCCCAGATGTTGACTGCCACAAGAACCCTCCTTTCCTCGTCCTGCTGGTGGCGTGCTCTTTCCAGCAGCTGGATGCCAGGATGGCCATCCGGCACAGCTGGGGCAAGGAGAGGACAGTGGCTGGGAAGCGCCTGGTGACCTTGTTCCTGCTGGGGAGCCCTGTGGATCCCAGCCAGCAGGCTGACATCGCTGCCGAGAGCCAGAGGTACAGAGACATCATCCAGAAGAACTTTACAGACACCTATTACAACCTGACCCTGAAGACCATGATGGGAATCGAGTGGATCCACAGGTTTTGCTCCCAGTCCAGCTTCGCCATGAAAACCGACACGGACGTGTTTGTCAACGTTTTTTACCTCACTGAGCTGCTCCTGAGGAAAAAGAAGAGCACTGGATTCTTCACAGGCTTTTTAAAACTGCACGAGTATCCCATCAGGACAAGAGGGAGTAAGTGGTATGTGAGTAGGGAAGAGTATCCAGGAACCACCTACCCACCCTTTTGTTCCGGGACTGGATATGTTTTATCCAGTGACGTAGCCAGCCAGATCTATAACATTTCTGAGAGTGTTCCATTCATTAAACTGGAGGATGTGTTCATAGGGCTGTGCCTCGACAAATTAAAAATTCAGCTGGAGGAGCTTCACTCGGAGCAGACGTTTTTCCCAGAAAGGATCAGGTTCTCTGTTCCTCGCTTTAGGAAAATCGTGACGTGCCATGGAGTAAAACCATCCGAGCAGCTGAGCTACTGGAACCACTTAGTGGCAGCAACTGAAGGAGGACTGCTCTAGCACCTACCCTGCTCCACTTAACAGACTGAAATTCTCTGCTTTTACAGGGCTGCTCCCCACTCCAGCAAACTCCCAATTAACTCCAGCTCCATCACGTTAAAGGCTTTAGAAATGGTTATTTTAATCACAGAATCAGAGAATTGTTAGGGTTGGAAAAGATCTCCAAGATCATTGAGTCAAACCTTTGACTAAACACCACCTGGTGAACTAAACCAGAGCACTGAGTGCCACGTCCAGTCATTCCTTGAACACCTCCCTGGGCAGCCCCTTTTAGTGCTTATCCACTAAAAATTCCCTATTTCTGCCCAAGAACATGCAAACCTCCTTCTCTCCCATTCACTCCCACCTCTGTGCATCCCTTCTCTATACAAGTTACTTTTTTTTTTTTTTTTTTTTTCCCATGAAATATTCAGGCCTGCTAACCCACCCTCCAAATCTTGCTGCCGGAGGCCTGGGAACATTTCTGCTGTGCCAAACAAAAAAAGTCAAAGCACTTTTGTTCAGGGAATAAAATCTGCACCATCTTCCTGGTCGCCCTTGATAAATTACTGCACCCATCTGTGCAGGCACTTAAGGGATGATATTTGTAGCTGTCAGGATGCTCCCTCCTGGCATAGGAAGCTGCAGCCCTGCCCTTGCAGCCAGCTCTGAGTGGGCTGAGCTGCATCCTGGCACAGATCCCTCCTTCAGTCTACACCAATTTTTTTTTTTTTTTGCAGAGATGGTAGAATTTGCCCATGCAATTCTCTCAGGACAAGCTTGGGCACTGCAGGTCACCTGGTGGAGGTGTAAAAGCAGCTGCAGCTGTTTCCTTGTGTGTGCTTCCTGCTGAAAATAATCCGTGGTGGAGCCAGCACAGGGTGTCCTGCTCTTCCTATTAAAAGAGACCCTGGAGACATCTTTTCTATTTGTGTCTGACTTTGATTGCCTGAGAGCTACTGTGAAGGGTTTGCCAAGGCTAAACTAGAGTCACTTACAGTGATTTAGACATTTTTTTCCAAAGAGAAAAGGGTGTGTGAGGGAGAAGACAGGAGGATTTTTCTCTTTTTTTTTTTAAACAAAACCTAATGGAAAATGTGCTCAAATAATCATTCAGGCTGGGAGCCCTATTTCTTATTTCATTCCCAAGCAAAGACTCATGGAATCTCTGGGATCATTATGAGTTTCAGAGATAAGGAGAGGGGTCTTTACAGCAGATGCTGAAAAATCCTTCAGGGCTCTGAGGAGGCAGAAAGGAGCTCAGAAATCCTCCCTTATGCAATGGTCCTGTTTGATTTTCCTGCAGGCACAGGCAAGGTCAGTGTTATCAGCAGGGAATGCCTGTAATGTCTGTGGGAAGGGCTTTTTCCAAAAAAGCAGGGAAAGTGGAGCTGTTCCCGAGGGGAGTTGCGGGGATCCAACATCCAGCATGGTAAAAGCACGGAAGAGAGACAGGAAAACAGATTTTATTGTTTTGGAGTTATTTATTTTTATTGCTTTTCTTTTCATTGAAAAGAAGGACCTTCCTTCCTTCCTTCCTTCCTTCCTTCCTTCCTTCCTTCCTTCCTTCCTTCCTTCCTTCCTTACTAAGAGAGGATTTTTCTCCCTCCCTCCCTCCCTTCCTCCCTCCCTCCCTTCCTCCCTTCCTCCCTTCCTCCCTTCCTTTTCCCCAGTATCTCTTTTTACTTGCCTGTGTCTGAAGAGCAGGGTAAATATTTTCAGCAGGAAGATCCTGGCAGTGTTTAATAATGGTCATAATATATTATTTATTTTCCTCTGGTGTAACCCAAGATCATGCACTTATTTTTGACCATTGATGATGAAAGAAACAATGTTTATTTGTTTGTCAGAAGAATGGTCTTTTTCATTTTAAGCTTCTTTAATGAACTTTTAATATTTTATTTAAAGAAGTAAAATATTTAAATAGCTGAATTTTGCTTAAAATTCAGCTATTTTTGAATACTTTTGCTGCCTTCAGAAGGTGTGATGGTCAGACTGATAAAGCCAAGCCAACAACTTTTTAATCACTATTCTTTCCATGCAATATGCAGAAATATCTTGTGTCATTCATTGCTGTTGTGCCCAAGGTGCAAGCTGGCTATTCCTTTAATTTATGGAAAAATGGTGAGCAGAAAGGAATGTGTCCTGGTCATTGCTAGCTCCTTGTCTGGAGGGGCAGAGCTCTGAGAGCTGGGACAGCATCATCAGCCTGATGTTCTCTTCTTGTTCTCATAGACAATAATACAATCATAAAAATAATAATATAATAATGAAATAATCCTGCAGGCAATTGCAGGTCTCACTTCCACCTCTGTGCCTGCTGCCAGCAGTTTGTGGCTTTGCATCAGCATTAAAAAAGTCACCCTTGAGGGTGACCCAAGTCCTGCTCAACCTCTTGGCTGGGGCTTTTATTTGAGTCCAGGAGTGTTCCAAATGACTTGAATCCAGCTGCTGACTGTTCTTCTGCAGACTGCACCTCTGTATTTTTGGGGTTAAATTCCAGTGGAAGATGTCCCTGCCTGTGGCAAGGGGGTGGGAATGGATGTTCTCCAACCCAACCCCAACCATTCTTGGCTCCGTGAAACCCATCTCTGATGGACTGGGAACAAGGACCTGGCACAAGGTCCTGAAACCATCCTGACCCGTTTCCAGGGAGGTGGAATTGTCATTCCAAGTGACCTGTGCAAGATGTCTCTGTTTGCTACCTTCAGGATGTTTTGTCCCCACACCAGTCTCCAATGGCCTGACTGTCCATGAGCATTTAATTTGTCACTGCTGGAGCTCTGCTGATTGTCATTCCAAGTGACATGTGCAAGATGTCTCTGTTGCTGCCTTCAGGATGTTTTGTCCCCACACCAGTCTCCAATGGTCTGACTGTCCATGAGCATTTAATTTGTCACTGCTGGAGCTCTGCTGAGGAGCAGATGAGTTCGGGTTGAAATGTCAGGGATTCAGATTTTCAGGGATTTTTCTGCTCCTCTTTGCAGAGTGGTTTCCCAAGTGAATGCTTTCAGTTGCTGCACAGAATTTTCCTCAATGTAATGATTTTCTTTGTGTGAATGAGAAAATGATCTTGTAATTCACAGGATCATAGAATTGTTTAGGTTGGAAGAGAACTGCAAGTTTTCTGAGTCCAACCATTAACCCCAAAAGGTGTCCCTAAGCACCACATCCACACTTTTTTTTGACACTTTCAGGGACAGTGACTCCACCACTTCCTTGGGCTGCCTGTTCCTGTGCTTTGCCACCCTTTCTGTGAATAAATTTTTCATAAATGCAATCTAAACCTCCCCTGGTGCAACTTGAAGCCATTTCTTCTTGTCCTGTTGCTTTTCACCTGGGAGAAGAGACCAAGCCCCATCTCACCACATCCTCCTGCCAGGGAGTTATGGAGTGCAATGAAATCCCCCCTGAGCTCCTTTTCTCCAGACTAAACCCTTCCCCAGCTCCCCAGGCTGCTTTGAATAAGAATATATTAATTGAGTAATTAATTACTTAAAACATAAAGTTACCCTGCTGGAAAATGTGATTTAAGAAAAAGCAGATGATTGCATGTAAGGCAAATCCATTTGTTTAAACAAAACCACTGTGCTAGTGAGTTTATATGTATCAGCTAAATTAAATTAGCTTTTGCAGCTGAGGCCTCAGATCATGAATTTTAAAACAATTAAAATAGTATTAGTGGCCTTTTGCAAAATTAGATTCATTTTCCTATGAAAGACCATCATAAAAGAATCAGAAATGCAAATAGAACTGTAAACACAAAACTGCAGTGTACATTTACTTATTTTTTTAAATTTTGTATAGGCTGATAAAAGAATTCAGGCAATTTGGGGGCAGTTTGTCTGCAGAAGCTGAGCACTACCCCAATGTTTTTATGCATTCAGGGTTAGAAGTTCATTAAATATTTTTTTTTTAATGAATAGCTTTGAAAAGGTCATCTAAAAGTTACTCCACTGCTTCTAAGCAGGAAGGAGTACAGAAATCAGCAGAGCTGGCAGTGTCTTAGGTTGGTTGCATTTCAGCACACTCTATTTCTTCCAAGATCAGTTTTTGGATGCATAAAAATTAATACCTTTTTTTTTTTTCCCCCACAACCCTAATTCATCAACTAACACATTCTCAGTGTAAATTAGGATTTTCAAATCTGTGCACGAAGGATTTGGTCTCACAGCTCCTCTGACTCAGACTTACTGAGGAGGCACAACCCTCCCAGGCACTTCTGAAAATACAGAAGTGGAGTTTTGCAATGGAAGTTTTGCCTTATTTCAGAGTGGAAGGGGACAAAAGGGCTCCTGGTGTGTGCTGGGTGTGACAGGAATGCTGCTCCTCACGGATGTGTGCAGGTGACAATGCAATGCTCATTTCAAAGGCGTGACAATGTTTGTGTTATTTGCATAGAACATGAGCCAACAGTTCCATGTTTGATATTTTATTAGTAAAGAATTTTGCTACCACAGTTTTGTGTGTTCTCCCGTCTTTCTGGTTGTGAATGTACAAACATTTTGAGGTTTAGTTGTGTCAGGGGGCTGCTTCCTTTTCCAGTTCAAATCAGTAGAATCATAGAATCATTTAGGTTGGAAGTGACATTGAAGGTCATCGAGTCCAACCTTTATCCAGCACTGCTGAGTCCAGCACTGACCCCTGTCCCCAAGTGCCACATCTGCACAGCTTTCCAATTCCCCAGGGATGGGGACTCCAGCTCTGCCCTGGGCAGCTGTGCCAGGGTTTGGGCACCTTTCTGGGAGAAACTTTCCCTGATATCCAATCTAAACCTGCCCTGGCCCAGCCTGAGGCCGTTCCCTCTGCTCCTGTCCCTGTTCCCTGGAGCAGAGCCCGACCCCCCGGCTGTCCCCTCCTGGCAGGGACTTGTGCAGAGCCACAAGGGCCCCCTGAGCCTCCTTTGCTCCAGGCTCAGCCCCTTCCCAGCTCCCTCAGCCCCTGCTGGGGCTCCAGCCCCTTCCCAGCTCCGTTCCCTGCCCTGGACACGCTCCAGCCCCTCCAGGTCTCTCCTGCAGGAGCAGAACTGGGCACAGCCCTCGAGGGGCCTCGCAGAGCCAGCACAGAGGGACAATCCCTGCCCTGCTCCTGCTGGACACACAATTCCTCATCCAGCCCAGCTGACAGTGGCCTCTTGCCCACCTGGGTACGCCTGAGCTCGTGTCCAGCCCTGTCCCCAGCACCCCCTGGGCTTTTCCAGCTTTCCAGCCCCTCTGCCTAGCCTGGAGCTCCCTGGGGTTGTTGTGACCCAAGGGCAGGACCCAGCACTTGGTCTTTTAATATCTGAATTTGAAAACTGTTGAATTTTCTCCCCTTCTCAAAAATGACTTAGGAAATAGTGAGGGAATTGAAAGAAAAAAACAAGTTTAACCACAGCTGATACCTTCGGGAAGAACAAGAGCCAAACTGAAGTGATTCCTGCCCCAGTGTGTGCCTGAGGATGGCTGCCAGGGTCCTTCTGGGACCTGGAAGTACAGGGCTATTCTCTTATCACTTCAAAGAGAAATGTGAAATAACTAAAGACTGTCAGATGGATTTTCAAACAGAAGCAGTTATGAACAAAAAAAAAACATAAAGAGAAAAGTCTCCCTTACTGCCTTTATCTTTTATCTTGCTTACATTTCTAATCTATTTTGCTTGAGTTTTTTTTTTACTGGACTTCAATTCATTAGTTCATGACAGCAATATATTCCCAGGAATATCTACAAATATTGTCACAGGACTTAGACATACGCAGCACATAGGAGATCCAGCCTGAAAAAGCAGAATTGAATTTGCACATGCTCTGGCTGAGCAAACAGAGACTTTTTTCAAAGCTTTGTAATACAGTGGATTTGAGGCCGTCCTTCTAAAGAGTTCACTTAAGTACATTTTCACTGAAAAACGTAATTGGATTATTTTAATGTTTGAGAAATAATGTTTTACATAGTCAAAATTGCATTATTTTTGCAGGGAAAAAAAAATAAATCCATGTCCCTTCTTAAAATCTGCCAAAGTGAGCCATGTACACAACATTCCTTGCATTCAGCTACTGACCTAACCCGACCTCGTTTAATTTATGACTTTGGGTGCAGGGACAGAGGCCTGCAATCATCTTCCTGCTCCTCAGGAATCCCAGCTCCATTTCCAATGACAAAATTCCACTCCCCAAACTCCCGTGCGCAGCCGGAGGCGGGGAATGCCATAAATTAGTGATGTGCTGTGATTTGCACCTCCAGCTCTAATCCCTTCGTGTTTAATTTAATTATTCCTGCTGAAACAGCCGTTGTAAGTAAATGTTTGACTCGGGTACACAAAGGGACCTGCAGCTTTTACACGAGCTGCTGCTTGTCAAGGTCCAGAGGGGAATGAGAGAGCAGAGAGAGCTGAGCTGGAGCAGGGGCAGGACGTGGAGGGGGAGTGATGCTGCTGACAGGGTGAGGAGGGGTGGAACAGCTCAGGGTGAGGGGCTGTGAGGCACTGTCTTGGTTTGGAAAGCCAGGTGTCTGCTAAGGAAGGCAGCAGCCTCTCCTGAAATGGAAAATGTAAACCCCCCTCACTCCAAATTGTTATAAATTTGAAATTACGGAGCTCTT